TGTATATATGTATATATGTATATATGTTTTTTTCTGGTCCATATTTTGGTCCATATTTCGGTCCAATAATTGAGAACTAAGGCTGAAAGTTATTGATTCACTTGCTGTTAACAGGTTGATAACGGGGAAGGAATTACGGCCAAAGCGTCTAGTTATGCGAACTCGTTATTTGGCCGCTTCAGGAAATACGACAGTAGACATGCGCTGACCTTAGCCGCCGATGGCATAGAGAGCACTGCGAACAGATTAGGACTCTCGGCACCGGTACGAGTGCGTGTGTATGAGATACTGTGCCGTGTAGTTAAGTACTGTTTGTCTCTATAGGTGTATTTGTACACTCGCCATGTAGTCCAGTGTTTTATGCATGTAACAGCCTGCATGGTTGGTCTCTCATGCAGTTATATCCGATAGATATCGCAACGAACAATTCAGCTGTCCCAAAACTGGTTTCAGTGCGCTCTTATGGAATCTTGTGCGAGTATCCGAAGTTTAGTATCTCAGCATATTAGCTGTGTACGTCTTTCTGTTCATCCGTAAGGTTCATTCTATGTGTTTAAGACTTATCCTTTCCCAAAAGGGCATCTTTGTTTAAGTCTCGATGGTCTACACATGCCTGGTCGTAGATTCACCGTTGTGTGGTATTCGTATCTGTTTGGTACGTTCCGGCCTACACAAATCATTGCTACGTCGTTCTCCTTAGATAGGTCTGTTGTACAGTACAATCTCCAAGCAAGCCTGGTAAACGTATCGCTCTCTTAACGCATTCAAATATATTCAACCATCGTTCTATCATCCCCCAACCATGGTATAGTTACTAAAACCCTATAAAAACCTAAACTTTAAAACAGTTATTGAGCGCGGTGGAGGGGATGGAGTTATTCCTGGATCCTCAGACGGAATATCAATTGTCAAAGGAAGAGCTTCGGAAGGACACAGTCCCATACTAGCATCAGGCCTACGCGATACCTCACTGTAGTAACCTGCTTATATGTTGCACGCATGTAGCCACCGGCTTACAGGCAACTTGATGGTTGGATCCGACTTGTGGAATACATGATTTGTAGTGCCAGACTTTAATACGGATTGCATGGGGGTAGTATCATGCTTATGGATGGCTTGGCCTGCCATACACTAGTGTCCGGCGTATGGGTTATATGGCCCTTCAGGCCTGCTATTCTTGCCTTCTAGAAAAGTATATGTACTGAACTAAGGCTCTCATGAGGTGGTAATCGCCTTTCCGTAGCGGAGTTGAATGCTCTTTGTTTGTCTCTCAGATATGTTTGCGGTTCGTCTCTAGCTTGACAAGATGCACATGCCCTACATGTGGATTGAAGTTGCTCAAGTATTCTTTGTAGCTTCTAGATATTCTTATATATATTTATATAGAGTCCTGGTGATGCTCCCTATTCTATTTATAGTCCCCTGTGACTATATAGTTTCGTGTAGCCCAAGCCTGGCTCACCTATCCTATCAGCAATACTATTCATCAGAGAGGGAAGCAGCGGGTGCTAGACAACGCCTTCCAAGGATCCACATATGCAAATAAAAATATTAGAATTTCGATCTTGGGTCATGTCCAGTAAGTAAAGTACTTACAATTGCGTGTGTTGTGCAGACCTAATATCCTTGCAATACAGATGTCAGTATCTACTATATCATTTGTCTTATTGGAATCTCGAAAACGTATAACGGGGCTTGTTTTTATACTATTGTACACTAAAGTACATACCGTGATATTAGCGAACCGAAAAACAGTAGTATGCAGGAAGTAAGTACCCTAGAGAATGTTCCACAAACAATACTAGTATATAGTCTTGGGGACGCCCAATATATATATACATATATATATATGTATATATATATATATATATATAATATGTATATATACATACATACATACATACATACATACATACATACATACATACATACATATACATATAGATATAAATATAAATATATATATATATATTTAAATATATATATATACACACATATATATATATATATGTATATATATTGGGGACGCCCAGTACCTGTACACAGGGTATTCTCGGAAGTTTGTTCAAATTTACCTCGGCACTTTTTTTGAAACATGTTAGCGCACGCTTCGAAATTGCAAACTTGACATTTAACGATGGTAAAAAAAACGGATATGAAATGCTCTTGTGGTTTATAAACTGATCTAGTTTGTTGTCGGATCGTTCTGTATCTGAGAAGACGTCGGTCGCGATTGAATACTCGTGTGTTGACGTCACAAATACAAATACAAATATACCGCCAAATGGTCTTCGAAGGATTGAGCGATACTTTTGTGAATGCGCTGGGGGTTGGTAAGCCAAACAGCAACCTTGTGTGCAGATGTTCATCCCACTAGAGTGCCCATGTATGGTTTACTTATCGTCCCATAAAGTAGTTCACAGTCACCAGTCCACCCAGATGTATTTATAACAAATCTACCTCGCAGCATCGCCTGCATATACCTCTGACATCAACAGAACATACATCTCTGACATCAACAGAGTCCGAGGTTCGGTCTCCTACCAACTACGTCCATGGCGTTCCTAAATCCGGGCTTTCACCGCATTCCGCATCTACTCGATACATTCCTCACTTACTCGGCGCACTGCTCAATTTACTCCATACATTTATAGTTTCTATTGTTCTGGCCTGGCGTGGTCCGGTCTTCGCCCTTCAAACTCATTGTCATATGACATTGATAACGGTTTCCGTACTTTTTGCCACGTGTTGATGTCGAAGTACACATAGGTATCCCTCTCACCCGCCTTCCCCGTGGCGTCGATGGGCGCTTCGTTTGCGAACCACAGCTTTAAATCCCGGTGATAGCGCCAGTCACGCGCGTACCTGATTAAATGGGAGTGGGAAAGTGACACAATGTTGTGGATGTCTATACACTCGATGTGTGAACGCGAATGAAGCGGTATGACGTCTTCATAAACATTCGGGTTATAACTACACGTATGCACGTGGTTGATGGTGTATGACGACAGGGATATATATGCTACATTTCTCACGACACAAAACCCTACAACAGGTCCATCGCATCGCCCTCGTTCTGGAATAGGTGCGAGGCGTATGGCATACAGAACACCCGAAAGACAATGCGGGTAGTAGCACAAACGTTGTCACGATAACAGTAGCACGTGCTCAATTAGAAATACCAAACACTACTATGTTGTACCTCTTAAAGAACCAACACTGAGGTACAATATGATAACAATAATTGAAGCCCCAACACTGATGATAAATATGATAACAAGAATCAGAGACCCAACATTGAGGTACATTATAACAATACCCACCACTGAGGTCCAATATGGTAACAATAATTAGAGCCCCAACACTGAGCTTAAATATGATTACAATAATTAGAAACCCAACACCAAGGTACATTACAATAATACCCACCTCTGAGGTACAGTATGGTAACAATAATTAAAGCCCCAACAGTGAGGTACAATATGATAATAGTAAAAGACGAGGGGTAACACGCTCTATACCATCCGGTCAGCGATTTCTGCAGAAACAAGCATCGCCTCCCATCCAGATAAGCCGGAACTGACTACACACCCGAACATGCATTAGCATGTATAGCAACACAACGAACGACTAGACAGCCCCTATGTGGCGTATAGTGAGACTCTTAGAGATTCGTTGGGTAGACATACAATTCAGTGGCGGCTGCGTGTTGAAGTATGTCCCTCGGCATAGAGTAGAATATGTAGAATAAGCTTTGGTCCGTGAATGAATGTATTTTTTGCAGTGGCGGTGATTGAGGAGGCTGGTGGGAATAGAGCAGAAACACGCAAGAGAAAGAGAGAGAAAGAGAGAGAGAGAGAGAAGAGGCGATGGGGAATTTAGTGATGGAATCGGACAAATATTGCGCGAATATCATATTTAAATTGGGAGCATTTAAATACTTGAATTCTTTCCGTTCGAGAATGGAAGAAATCACAGGCAACGACGGTGACTAAGGTGGCCAAGTGGCTTTGGCAACGAGACAAAGAAGCAACGCACAGCCAAAACAAACACAGTTGTGGGCCCCAGAACGAATTGCACATAGGGTTTTAGGGTTTAGGGTTTTTAGGGTGACTAAGGTGGCCAAGTGGCTTTGACAACGAGACAAAGAAGTTACGCACAGCTAAAACAAACACAGTTGTGGGTCCGAGAAAGGATTGCACATCGACCAGCAACGAGATAGGAAGTTGCGCGAGTGTCAGAATGAAGTCACTGTTAAGTTGGTTTCGGGCATATGGCCATGCGAAGAATTCCCTAGCACGATGGTATAAGGCGATACTAATTGTGAATTGTTCTTGGCGGGAGCAAGAACCTTGGATCCTTACTTCAAACACTAGAACCCAAGAAACACATAAGGGTAGCAACGCACATGCCTGTACATACACATAAACATGCACCGTGTTCCACCTCATATCATACCATAACAGTACATATGACCCGCCACGACGTACTAGCATCAGATGGAACCCCGGTATTTTTCACTCCAAATTCACAGTTTCAACCATATGTGCATTCAGCAACATATGCCTATACCAGTATAAACAAAGCAAATATATGAACGTACACATATGTACCTCGATATCAGTGACCTAAACCCTAAACCCTAAAATACATCCACCTACCGTCATTAAGTAGAAACTAGGCAGGCTGTACTCTGGATCTACATGTTCCGGCCCCTTCGCCAGCGGGGACGAGAACGTCTTATACAACATCTCCGGTGAATTTAAATCGAGTCCTAAGGTTGTGAGGTCTATGCCCAGTGCTAATGTATTCGTGTCCCTGTCTGTCATGCGTATCACACCCAGCAGACCCAACAATCCGTATCGATCACTGCCGTTTGAGAAGGTTTGTTGTTGCTGCGCATGCAGTTGCTGACCTTCGCTTGGCGCAGTGCCTTCGTAGTTGCTCTGTATATACCTGTCTAAGGCATTCCTGTCTCCCACGGGCACCTGCTTATGGATGGTTAGGGTTAGAGATAGAGGTTCATGTAGTTGCTCTGTATATACCTGTCTAAGGCATTCCTGTCTCCCACGTGGATTTACTTTTGGATGGTGACGATTAGAGATAGAGGTTCATGTGTTGTCCCAATCATGAGGACATTTGTAAGCCAGTTAGTTTATACGTGGATATGTGATGCACGCAAAGCCTTCCACGCGAGTTTCTATGAGAAATCGTGTATGGGGTCTTTCTGTATATACCAATTCCATGGCATTGTGGTCCCCCACGCGCAACTGTGTTTATAACTAATAATATATATTTGAATGCTGTGAAACCCCCTCCTAGACGTGCTTTTATGTGAATAACTACCTGCATATGTGACATACACGACTTAAATATAACACATGCATGCCTGTACATCGCAATCGACGACTATTCGTTGGTAAGTGAAAGTATAAATACTCCCTACCTGGTCGTGCGAGCTCGGTTGTGTTTGCGAAATGGGTCCCAAGGAAACCTCTTGGTTATTTTTTGAAGACGCATCCTGTTGATAGCCTGAGAACATGAGAGTCGGGGTAACGCACATGAATATACAACCACGTAAAGCCGGTAGATACCTGTGTAGTCGAACTCTCCCATAGTGATGGAATAAGACATCACAGGTGGTCCCTATAGTAACGTACATGTAGTTGAATTTGAGTGTATCCGATGGAAGCCGCCGATTCGGGACTAACGAACCCGATCTGCTACACGGTATTCCGATTTTTGATTCAAGAACGACATCCCCGGGAGAGGGGTGCATTATAAGTGCAGCTGTAAAACGTTTATATTTGGACTATACAACACCGAGTGTATATAAAACAGGTACGTCTATTTATGCTGTCATGAAAATAACAGGCATGTGTACCGGTGCTGTCCGCCTGGCTTGAGTCTCAATTGTACATAACACACGTAGCGTCGCCTTGCACATCACGTACATGTGCCATAGAATATCGTGCATACAGTACAGGCAAGTCCCGCGATCTCCAGTCAGTCGCTTGAGAATTAAATGACAACCCAACGTTCTTAGGGTATGTGTGGTAGGGGTGCAACCTGGTACAACCTTACAGGCAACTAGGGACTTTTGCGCACGCCAACACAGCGAGGAGGTGCTTAGCTTGCAGGCTTATCGATCCCGTAAGTGTACCGTGAAATCTACGACGTATAAACACAATGGGCAAGTTTGGGTTGAAAACTGAGAAGCCATTTAAAGGCTAACATATACCTGAAGTTTGTGCCGGCAACGCTGGGAAATCTTCGTTTTGTAAATTGAACCCACTCCTACCTGGATTCTTATGCGTCATTCCTAGTTCATGAGGAGAAGAAAAAACAATCCAAAACTCAAAATAGAAAAAAAAATACTCAGCAATTGAGCAGAATAACAAGGAGCTACTTATAGACTTGCAGACGATGAACACAAGCATTGGTAACTGGTATTGCAAGTATACATACTTTAGAATATATATATTTACGTACATACATTTATATATATACGTATACGTATATGGATATACATATATATATATATATAGACATAAATATATATATATATATATTTATATAAATATATATATGCGTGAGTGTGTGTGAGTGAGTGTGTGTTCATGTGTGTGCGTGTGCGTGGTGTGTGTGTGTACGTGTGTGTGTGTGTGTGCGTATATACAAATATATATATATATAATATGGAATTTGAATATAAATAAAAATAAATATAAACACATATATTTATATATATATAAATATATATATATATATATAAATAGATATATATATATATATGTATATATATGTATATATATGCATACACGAATAAATATATAAATTCATAAATACTGAAATACCAACATACAACGAAAGATAAATACAAACATACACATAGATACATATAAACAACCATAGATACATGAATACCTACGCAAAAATATCCAAAAATACAAACATACATACAAACATGTAAAGAATACTGGCATATATATTTAAACCTTTCTAAAAAAATACATACACGCATATATAAATAAATAAATAATGAAATATATATATATATATATATATACATACATACATACATATATATATATTTATAATATATATATATATATACATATAAATACCATATATATAT